GCCACCCCCCCCAGCCTCCCCGGGGCCAGCTGTGCTGTGGCAGCGAGGACAGAACCATGGCTTTGTTAGCCCAAAGCATTGCAGATCCCTGCCACAAAGCACCAGGCCACCGCCCACCATCCCCAGTCCCCGTCCCCACTTTCGGGCTGGATCCCCGGTCCGGGCGATGCTGGGGCGAGGAGGTTTTTCCGCTCAACATAAGCAGCCTCCCCGACCCGACCCCGAGCGACGGCTGCAGCCGCAGCAGCGCACAAACACCGCAGGAATAATTCACCAACAAACTCATAAACACTTGCAACCGCGACCCGTGCATTTCCTTGATTACCAGCCCGAAACTTTTCATTAGAAATTACTTATTAAACAGGGATCTAACCTTTCTCCCGGCTGGCAGTGGATAACGAGTGTTTTATTAAGTCGTCAGGAGCGAGCGGCAGCTAATGCAAGCTGCATCCGCTGCATCCGCAGGGCTCTGTACTTCATTAGCCATGGATTATTATGCCATTTATAATTAAACGTTCAATGCTTTAAAATATGGCGCGGCAAACAGTAGTGATCAGGCAGAAGGGATCAGGGAAGGCTCCTGTAAATGGTCTGTGCCATGCAGCCAGAAAACACCTCCTCATGGGTTTGGTGACTGGGCGATTTGACCAGTTCTCCAGTTTTTCCTGCTCTTCCTCAGCAGCCGGGGGTCTCTGGGCAGGGAAGATGCAGCACCCACGGGCATCTCCAAAGACCACAGCCATGAACTCAGCGGCAACATCCCCGCCGGGCGTTGTGGCAGCGAGCGGTGAGATGTCGAGGAGCCTTGTCTGCCTCACAAAAAGACAAACATGATCAGCTCACCCCCCTCCAGGTTTTGCCAAGCCACTGTGCTGTCATTTGACCTAGAAGCAACTCAGTGCTTGGGCCCACCCCAGGGATGCTGCCGAAGGTGAAGACAGCCCTACGAGAAAAAAACAACATTTCCCTTGGCGTGGGTCCGTGCTGTCCTGGAAAGGACCCAGCCAGGCTCTGATTTTGGGCTGAAAGTTGCATCCGAACCAGCATTTGCAAACCCAAGACCCTTAGCAAGCAGCAGGCAGAGCAGCAACGGCCCCACGGACAGTCCCAGCGTCTCTGAGAACAGCAGCTTAAAAACAAAAAATTAGGAAAGGGAATTTGGACAGGCAACAAGCTGAGCTCTTCTCTTGCCTGGGAATAATCCCGTAAATTGCAGCCAAGTGAATTAAGTGCAAATTGATGTTCAATTTGTTACGCAGCTTCGATATTTCAGTCTTGTCAAGAAAGAGGATATATGAGGACAGAGGGGTTTTCGTGATGTGTTTTAGCATTGGGAAGGGAGCGAACGCTTCCCTGATGGAAACCGAACAGCAGCCGCTCACCGCGGCGTGGAAACAAATCCAAACCAAACCCAAACTCGGCCCGGTACATCCTGGACCGGGGCAAAACCTCCCAAAGCAGCCGCTCAGCCCGAAGGAATAAACATCTAACGAAAAGACTAATTAACAGAAGACTTCATCCCTACGCCAGTAACTTCAATCTGATGAGTGAGGAAAGAAAAACCACGCTCCCATTATTTCAGCCTGGCTAAGTTTGGTCACTTGGGTTGGGCTTTTTCATTAGGCACTCTCTTGCAATAAGTAATTTTCCTTAATGCCTCGAATCACTCTTGATGCCGCTGTGGTGTGCCTGTGGCCAACGTGAAGTATGAGGAGGTCACAGCTGATGTGTCTTCGTTGGGATGGGGTTTCATTAAATGTGAGTGACCACAGAATTTAACGGTTGAGCCCGGCAACACTGCCCACTAATTGCTTTAGCGTGCTTCTGGTACCACCACAATTTCCCCTCCTCAGTATTGGGATTTGTCTACTCAATCCAATGCCCTTCGTCAGGATTGTAGGGAGATGTGGCCTCATTACGTAAACACGGCTTTTCCTGAGTCTTCGGTATTTCTTCAGCGTTGAGCAGAGGGAGACAGCCCTGCGCAGGAAACATCTCGGTGTCAGGGGAGCACCCGGGCCTGGAGGACCTCCAGCTCCACTCACCAGTGCTGTGCAGTGACTTGCTGGTGACACTGCTCAACACAGCATAACCCAGCACAAAGTGTCACCGAGCCCATTTCACAGACGAGGAAACTGAGGCGCTGGCAGGGAATTGCCCAAGGTTACCCCACAGCCCGGCACGCATCTGGGAAAAGGCAAAAGCTGTGAAAGCACACCAAAAATTGGGGCGTCTCCCAGGTGCTCACAGCACTTGCAGCAAAGCAAATACCTTTAAGGTGAGTGGAGCCAAACGCCCCGTGACGTCCCTCCGAAGCAGCAGGGAAAGCAAGCAAAGCCCCGTCGCAGCCAGGAAAGGGGCGACCAAATCGAGGACCGAACCCGAGCCCCTGCCTCGCATCCCCAGCGGCTTCAGCCCTGCTAGAGCCTGCTTGGAGTCGGCTCTACCGAGCAGCGTTACGGCTTGTTTTGCTTTAACTAAGTCAAATCCATCTGCTCTACTGTGCTATTTCTATTCCTAAATCTTGCATTATATTGAAAGTCTTTTAAACCGTCTGCACAAGAGGACTCGATGCGGTTTCTAGGGCATTTTCTGTTTAACTTGCATTAAAGTGTACCAAAGAGTTACAAGTGCATTAGCGGTCCTGCTCCCAAATTGCTGTTATAACCTTTGCCCCCGGCCAATCAATCTTGCTGACACCCATTAAAATGAGCTCATGGTGCCGTTTTTATGGCCGGATTAAGTGGTATATCTGTAGCTCAGGCGGTTCGGTAAGGGCGTCACACTGCTAATGATTTCTTTATTGATCTTTAATGATTTCCTACATTAGTACAAGCAACATTAGCCTCAACAACATGCTCCGGGACAGATTGACTAAATAATTCACTGCAGCAAACTGTGATCACATAACTGCACATTCCTCCTTTGTGATAAGAAACAGGGGTGGAAAGTGCATAATTATATTTTCTGATATAAGACAGAAAGTCGCTGCCTCCCTCCAGATTTCTCCCGGCCATCCCACCTCGCACCGACCAACCTTGAGCAGAAACTTTCCCATCAGGGGCCAGTGATCTGCCCCAAATCACTTACCCGGAGAAGAAATGCATCAGCACGGTCAAGGCTCTGCTCCGCTTCTGCTCGAGGAAACGCAGCGCTCGGGGAGCCGAGGGGATCGGGAGCAGTCGGGCTGTCGGGGGTCTCCACATTGGGGCACTGCTCGGGGGCTGTTGGCTCAGAGGGGACCTTGCTCATGGAGGAGGGAAGGAGCTGCCACCTCCCCAGCCATACCCTCCCCACGCTTCTCCCCGCAGGGCACCCCACGGCTGGTGTTTAGTGGGCAACTGGTGTTTAACCTTAAATATGAAGATCCCGAACCCCAGGGCTTGGGTTGAACCCCATGTGGGTACCCAGCAGTTTGGGGGAACACCACGCCATGGCTGCCTGCGAGGGCAGGACCTGCTGGACCACGCAGAGGCAGACCTCTCCCAGCTTGCCCCGCTTCACCTCCAAGCATGCCCGGAACAGCAAACGAGATGAGAGGTGCAGAGGTCCTCAGCAGACTGAAACGAAGGGTTACAACCTCTGGGATCAGTCTGAGGTCCGTTGCTATCTGGAGGATGGATGGGTGGATGGGTGGATGGGTGGATGGAGGTCCCCCCGTGCCAGCAACACACACAGGGTGAATGGGATGGTTTAAAGCAAACTTCTCACCGAGCCCAGCTGTAGAGGAATGCCCACGGCCACGGTCAGCACGGGTGTCCCTGTAGGCAGAGCACTCTGCTGTGCAGGTGGTAGCATGAGCAGTGCCAGAGCCGTGGCAGAGCCCTGGCACCAGGGGATGAGTGGAGCTGCTGCAGGGCTGGGAGCAGCCGTGCTCCTCCATCCACCTCCCAGCTGCCAAACCCCGGGGAAGCGCTGTAATAGCTGATTTTGCAGCATCACTGTGCTATTTCCTTACTTCACCCTACCCAGGAGCTCCTTCCATTGACGGCACCGAGGACCAAGGCCAGGATGGGGATGGCTTCTCCCCGCCAGCCACCGGCCACAAAACCAGCCCGCGTGGCTCGGGATGCATCGGGGGTCTCAGGTGCCAGGAGAAACCCATCTGCGACCTACAGCCTTCCTGTTGGGAGGTAACGGCGAAGCGCCGGTCCCGCTGCCGCGCCGTTTAATTGGGGAAAGCACTCAGTGGCGTGGGTCAAATTCTCCACGGGTGCTGGCGTGGAGCCAGATGAGACTGGGCATGCCACAGTCTTCATTAGCGTAACTGGTTGCAAACCACAGCTCTTGACCTGCAAATAGAAATGATTTCTTCATTAATGGAGATGTCAACAGTGGGGAACCTGTGGTTTCTAATGACACAGCCATTTTCATCAAGTGTACAAACAAACTACAAAGAAAACAGAAAAGTGGAGCCTTCTCCCCTCCGCCCTGATTCAACGCGGGGATTTTTATCTTGAAATGCAAGGTGACGCTCCCGAGGTCCTGCCATGAAGGAGCCCTCTCTGCAGGAGAGGCTGAGTTGAGTGTCACCATGACTTCAGTTGGCTGGAAAACCTCTCCCTGACCACCAGCACGTCAGCGATGGGACAGGCTTCAGGATGACACCTGTGGATGTCACAGCTTGGCAATCCCGTAGAACAAGGCTAGAGCGGCATGAGGACACGGGGTGGTTGAGAGGGGCTGCTTTGGGAACCTTGGCTGTGACTAACGAGGTGTCTCAGTGATGCTCCCATCCCCACTGCCCCAGATCGGTACTGGGGAGAACGTCCTGTGTGTGCTGTGGGGACCCTGGGCTTTCATGGGGCTTTGCTAAGTGTCCCAAACACTCACAGCTGCCACCAGGTTCCGGGGCTGGAGATGGAGGAGCTGCTGTCCCCTGTGCCCTCCCCAGGCGGCACTCGTCAGGCACCGAGCCCGCAGGAGCTGACAGCTTCGCTGTGTGATCTCAGTGCCTAGGAAAAACGTCCCAGAAAAAGGTTTTTTTCAAGCCCTGGTACAGATGGGCTGTCTAAACAAATGAGGCTGCTCAGACGAGTCCAAATTAGAAGCCAAAAAAAGACAGACTGTGGCTCTAAACAAATAAACAAACTAAAGCAAGATCTCGTTTGCATCCTTCAGCCCTCAAACAAACCGCAGAGGATATTCTCAGCTGAAACGCAGTGACAGCGTCTACCACCTGGACCAAACCCTGCTGTCAGCCGCCACTTCAAAACCCTCCCCAGAAAACCTGCCGAGGGCCATTTCCACTTCTCTTGCCTCGATGCTGTGGCACGGAGGACGCGCTCATTGCTCTAATGATTATTTGCGGGAGCGAAGCCCTGCCAGCAGTTCCCTGCTGCAACGGGGAGCCGCTGCAACCCGGTGCTGCAGTCGGTGGAGCGGGATTTTGCTGCGGCCCCGGAGCAGAGCATCACCTGAGCGTCTCCACAGCAGTTCAGAAATGAGAGCCAGTTTCTGGCCTTGTGGTTGTGGGCAAAGAGTGGAAAAAGGAAGGGAAAAGCCTCAGCTGTGCTAAGGAGAACCGCCTCTGCTTATTTTACTTATTTTTCTGGGTGATTTTTTTTAATTTAATAAGGCCACCCTGGGTGGCTGAGCGTGCAGGGTGGCAATGCTGTGGCCTCAGAAGAGAAAGTGGGTTTTCTACAGAGCAGAAATAGAGCAGAAGGCAAGAAAAGAAGCCAACAAACCCCACTGAAACAGAGTACTGGGGATGGGACGGGCTCAGACCGAATCCGGCACTGCCCGCAGGAAAAGCGCCCTCCACTCCAAAGAGATTCAGACGGGGAGCTTGGAGCAGAGCCGTGGGGTGCAGGGATGGGGTGCAGCTCCAGCTCCCCCGTGCAGACGTCCCTTGTGCCTCTGGGAGCCTTTTCACGATGGTGAAGACCCCCAAGGAGCAGAGAGAGCGGCTCGTCAGAGCCAGCTCCGCTCCTCCACAGCCCGAAACACGCGCACAGCCGAGCCCCTGCCCATGGTCTGTCGCAGCGGACATCCCTGCAGACACGATCCACGCCTTGGAGACGCCGCACAACAC